GGACAGCTTAATGTTATTGGTGTTTATTAGGAATTTCACTACACTATTATCTTCTGTAGGTTTATGCAAGGTTTGCTATATAGCAATTACCAGTAGCATTGTATTTGACAATACAAACAGAATACAATGGGGTAACCAACATGCCTTTAATCATAAATTACATGAATGTCAAAATTGGTTCAAAATTGCACATTCTTTTTTGAAACGAATCATGAAGCCCAATCAGCGAACGACTATGTCGAAAAAAGAATTTAATTCATTTGGTATATGTAGGTACTTAAAGTTTTAAAGCTTCGCCATGAAAGCTCTGTGGTTATCAAATAAAAAACAAATGAAGAAATAAAGAAAATGCATGTACAACTCAACTACTCAAGGTATTATTTTTGGTGAAATTCTTTAAATTCTTTACTCTTATATATAAAACAACTACAGCCATGTCAATAAATTGATTAATCTTATTTCTCTGTCCTGATATAGCTACTAAAGTTGTGATGCCACTTTACCTAAGTAGCTAAATTATCAATAAGCATCAAGTAATAAAGTAAATGGTTTGAACCCGGGAGTATCTTACATGTTTGTAAATGTAGATCATCCAGGTTGGTATAGTCCTGAGAAGGACTGTTTTTGTTGTTGTTGACTGACGTCTCGACAATCTTAGCGGTAGTCATCTTCAGAGTTAAAAATTATTTTTTTTGACCACAGAGGATCACACCTAGGAAAGATGTCTCCTCTGAAAGAGCACCCAATGAATGAAATGCACCGCCACTTTCGTCCAAGAAGAGAAGAGCAGCAACAGCAACGACTCACGAACAGGAAAAACATGGCTTGGGTGAGTGAAGCTAAAAATTCATGGCTGCATAGATAGTAGTAAAGTTAGAGAATCCAAGAATTCTATATAGAATGATTACTTTCTACGAAGAAAAAAATGTAACCAGAACAGTTTACATAGAATCCAACTCTCCAAGTTCAATACATTTAAATTTTTTAATAATACAAACACGACTTAGCTACGCACCCAATCTTCTAAGACACAAAATTGCCTCTGGCTCATGTCAGATCTGCATGACTTAGCAATTTATTTATGATCATATAATCGTTTTTATAGCAAACGAGACAACAACAAAGAAGACAGCAGCAGTGACAACGTGTAAATCAGAATGTTTTGAGTGGGGTGAGACAAATACACATTACATGATTGCATAAATGGTAGCAATATTTTCTTATGCTTTTTAAGTGATTTCGAAGTTTCGTATATATACATAATGGAAAAATGATTAAATATATACAATTAGAAAAAGAAACTAGTGATGGCTCATGTCATGATTTCACCAACCAATTTATTTTCAATCATGAAATTCTTTTTTCGGGATAGTCGAGAACAGGAAAGACATCAGGAGAACCAACAGGCAAACCAGAGAAATTTAGCCTGAGTGAGTCAAAATTGAAACAAAAAAATTTATGTGTATAATATAGTAGCAATACCGTTGCAATAAAGCTTCCATACAGAATGTACCGCGAATTGAAAATGTCACAAGAGCAAATTACATTCAAAGGCGACTGTTCAAATTTTACGAATTTAAACAATATAAACGATTCAGTTAAGCATATCGTATGTTAATAAATCACTTTACTACAGTCCACTATCGCTCTTATCAAATCTGACTGACCAATTATATTACAATTACAAAATCCTCTTTTCAGAAAATTAGAGAAAGGAAAGAAGAAAACAGCGATCTAACCAGCTAGTTTTAATTTAGGTGGGTTAACCTATACAAGTTTACCGGGCATAATGGTAGCGATACAGTTTGTATAAAAAAACTTCAAAGTAGAGTGACCCATACAGACTTGAACATATTCAAAACACTTTCCACCAGCCAACTTAAACTTTTTTGCATTAACTGTAGTCTTTGAGACCCCCAGTGCAAGAAAGTGGTTGAGAGGAAAAGGGAAACTTGCCTCAGTTGAATGATGAAAAGACTAACTACCACTGTGTTGAATGGTTACAAGAAATTACTCGACGAGGTGGTTTATTAACGGGGATGCCTTTATAGATTCTAAAAAAGAAAATACATATTATATGGCTGTGGATTAGATAAAGCATTATCAAGATTTTGAGCCCGTTGGATTTTCGTATTTTAATCATACTTTTCATACAGAATTACAGAAAAAAGACTAATTTTTAAAAAAGTTTATTGGGTACTGTGTTTGTATTCAGAAAGATGCTACACATCTTAAAGTAAAAAGCTTAAGAAAGTTAGTTGTTGTGTACTGAAAAACGTTGAACAAATACATACAGATATTATCACTATTAACTGCCAGACTTTTCAAGAGCATTAAGAATTTACTTGACGTCATCTGAGATTCTCAAGACTAATCAAGAGCATTTGAAAAAGCATTATAAATTCAAGAGCTTCACAAGGAGTTCAAGTAGATTAACAAACCCATTTAATTATTTCTCTTGGCTTTGAAGTTAGCATAAATGTACAGACAAGCAATGTTCTTACACGTACAAATGTCGTAAAAATATAAAACAGTGCAAATGTGCAGGGAATGCTCTACAGTCTTCCCAATAATATATGTGGAGTTATTACTTCATCATAAGAAAAATCCACCATGTTATCCACCAAAACCAATATTGGAATTGTATAAATATAACACACTATAGCGAGCGTTGTTGATAACGTATAAAATGTGCAATGAATATAATGCATACAATGAAAAGATTACACAATATAATTAAAAATAAGAATTTTCTTGACCTATTAAATCATTATTGCGAGGAAAACACTAAACTATAAGAAGAGGTTAAACTATCATCATGAGATCAGGCAAAAGCTCTAAACTGCAGTATATACAGAATTGTTACCACATCATTTCGTTAACTGAAACACTGGACACGTTAAGTATACACAAATAACACATATCTTAAGTTTCAACAGATTATCACTCTTTTAGCAGATTAAGAAGTAACATCAGAACAGAGCTCAAACATCAAATCACGCTTAATGAAGACAACAAACTGCAACATTTATAACATTTAGAGAGTTAAAGAAGCGAAAGATTTCACACACACTTTTATTTCCACAGGAGGGAAAAACCAACAAAGACGTTCTTTGAAACAAATATTTTACGTACGCCACGTACAATGTATTTTATGCATGAGGTCTTGTAAGCAAAAGCTCTTTGAAGTCTTCACCAAGTTGTTATTGTCATTATAAACTAAATATGCAAACATTACTTTATAATGCAATAAACTATTCGGTTGAACATTTACATCATTACCGCTAAAAATAATAGCACATAGATATAGCTACATAGCTTTATATATATACAAACATATAAGTAACAGATTTTATCAACATAACATTTGTTACCAACAGAAAAAAATGAAATGACTATGTGTGATGTATGACTATATGTGTACAATGGTCACGGAATTTAAACACCCAAAAGAATTCCTAAATTTAATTAAAACAATTAAAAACCGAGTCTGAGACTACAAAGCTTCACCATGGTAAGAACGTCTTTTATAAAGAATACATCTCGTTGCCTGTATATACAAAAATGCTATAAAACGTCGTGGTTTAAAGTGATAAACTTCGCTTTGACATCATCAAATACACTTCATTGTAGCTGTATGCCAGAACAAGATCGAATTGCTTATTGGCACATTTCAGGGAACACGAATAGACGCAATAAACAAGGAAAATAAATAATGGACGCTATAACATAGAAGATATGGAAATGGAGCGAACTGCCGTCTGTAAAGTAGCTTATTCAAAAGAACTCAGCTACTTGTATACAAAAATGTTCACGATAAACTAAAATACGAAGTCATTTTATGAGAAACATGCGAGTCGCACAAGAAATAGGAATTGTAAGAAGAATACATGGCTCAACCATCACAAAAACATTGGAGGAAAGACATTACTTTCCAAGAATAATGGAAATCTGACTATCCACTTTTGAATTTCTGAAGATTCTTTAGAATATTTCAATAAAGCAAATGAATGTAAGGAAATGGAAGGATTCTGTTACGAATTTCTGATCTCACAAAGCAGGTGAAAACACAATTCGTCGTGGAACATCCCGCGAGACTTTTCTTGTTCCCAATATTCCTTGCGAGACGTTCCAAATATTGCCGTTGAGGATAAAAGATGGTGTACAACTTTTAATCTTCCAGCGAAATCGAAATACAAAGAAGTAACTTACGATTAGTTCATTAGGCAAGTACAAACAACTATTACTTTTTACATTCTATATTTTCTAACTGCAAAACGTTTCATTTTGATCAAAATTTAACATAGAAATGAGCCTGTCGTGTTAATAAGAAACAACTGGGTATTCAGAAAAATTTCGTTCTTCGTTAGATGCATGAATCTTAATTTTCATTATTTTTAAACATCATTAAATTTGTGTCATGCATTAGATTCAGTAACTAGCTATTACCACAAAAAATTGAGCTTTCTACAACAAACGTTAAAAAAGTAATCGCGTCACAAAGATTTCCTTCTAAAAGGAAATAAGAAATAGGAAAAATTCGCATTTAAAGATCTTACTGAGACTAGAAAGTATCAGCTTCATAAGTTTTTCATTCCTTCTGTTCACAACTATCCACATAGTTTTTTCTCATATGCCTAAGTGTTTTTCTTCTTTTCTTTACCTTCTTTGTGCTCTTCTTTGAGGATGATTTGATACGATTGGTATCACAATGCAGTGCACCATTTGTAGTAAGTGTTAATTTATTGTTAAAGCAAAAGCAAAACGACATATATTTAATAGTTTTAGTTACATAAAGAGCGTTGATCTAAGCCATGCGGTGTCGAGCAGAACACAAGTTAAAGTGTGAAAATGTAAAGTTAGCATACAATAAATAGTGCTTACTAAATCATGTGACTAGCACTATAATCAGATGTATAATACTTTGTTTAATACATATGTAATGTATCGTCATTCCTAACACTCCCACTTGAGGATATCATTATTAAACAAGACTAAAGTTAATTGATTTCAGAAACTCCCAATAGTTCCCTGAATTTTATAAATTTTTCCTTAGATAGACTTTTGGTCATGATGTCGGCTAACATTTGATCTGTAGGGCAGTACTTCGCATCAATTGACCCATTCCCAACTTTCTCTCGAATAAAGTGAAATGCAATGTCAATATGTTTGGTGCGGTTAGGAAACTTGGCATTCTTTGATAGTTCGATAGCTCCTTGGTTATCTTCATAAATAACCAATGATTTTTCTGATCTTACATTCACATCTTGTAGGAGCTTCTTCAACCACACAATTTCTTGTGTAGCTAAACTTAGTGCGACGTATTCAGCTTCGGTTGAAGACCTTGCAATACCTGTTTGCCTTTTGCTACACCAACTTACGGTGCTTCCTTTAATTTGAAACACATACCCAGATATTGATCTTCTAGTATCCAAATCGTTTCCCCAATCAGCATCAGAATATCCAATAATCATTTGCTTTTCTTCATTAGCTTTAAATACTAGACCATGATTAATAGTCCCTTTAGTATATCTTAAAACTCTTTTTACTCCTTTGAAATGTTCCATTCCAGGTCTAGACATGTATCTTGCCAGAATTCCAACTGCATTTGCTAAATCAGGACGTGTTGCAGTTGAAACATATGTAAGGCATTCAATCATCTTTTGGTACTCTTGAACATTAATGGGCTTTTCATCTTCGGATAATGCACAAAACTGTTTTCCTACTTACATTGGTGTACTAACAGGTTTACAATTTTCCATTTGAAATCTCTTGAGAATACCTTCAAGATATTTTGGTTGGCCAACGGTCAGCTTTTTTGACTTCCGGTCACGTTTAACTACCATGCCAAGAACATAGTTTACTTCACCCAAGTCTTGAACTTTAAATCGTTTGCCAATTAATAACTTTTCTTTATTCAACATATCGATACTGTTAGAGAAAAGTAAAATATCATCTACATGAATAGACAGGATGACAAAACTGATTCTTCCATCCCTTGCTGTGATTGATTTCATATACAAACATTGGTCTGAATCGGCTTGTTTGTACCCACTTGTCTTCAAGTAATGGTCTATTGAGGAATTCCAGCATCGAGTTGCTTGTTTTAAGCCATACAAGCTCTTTTTCAGTTTGCATACATGATTAGGATTACCTTTATCAACATACCCATCTGGCTGACGCATGTAAATCTCTTCATTAAGATCTCCTTGTAGAAACGCTGACTTTACGTCCATCTGATGAGTTTCCCAATCCAGCGAGTTAGCCAGAGCAAGTAAAGACCTCATTGAAGTGTTGCGTATCACAGGCGAGAATACCTCCTGGAAATCAACTCCCGCAGCTTGCGAGTATCCTTGGGCTACCAGACGCGCTTTGAATTTCTCAATCGATCCATCAGCATTCCGCTTGACCTTGAAAACCCATTTACTTCCAACTACATTCTTTCCACTGGGTAAAGCTACCAGCTCCCACGTTTTATTCTCCATCAGTGAAATATACTCAGCATCAGTGGCTTCAATCCATTCCTTTTTCTGATCACATGACCATGCTTCATTAATGTTCCTGGGTTCGTTAATATCTGCAGTGAGATCATCTGCAACATATACCTCTTCATCGGGGTATCTAACAGGGGGTCTTCGTTCTCTTTGAGAATTCAGATTCTTAACTTGTTGCATAAAAGTTTCTTCATAAGTTTCTCCCACTGGATTATTAGGTTCAGGATTAAAAATATTATCTTCTCTTACAGCAATATCATCATTTTCTTCGTTATAATCATCTGTTTGCATAAAAGGTGTCTGTATCTCAAAAGTATTAGCAGTGTTTGAATTTTTATTGTCAAAGTTGTAAAACTTCCATTCATCAAAAATTACATCTCGGCTCTTGATGAATGACTTTGTTTCTGGATTGTACAATTTGAATCCTTTTATACCTTCAGGGTAACCCACAAATATGCATTTTGAGGATTTAGCGCCTAATTACTTCCGTTTGATATTAGGAATATGGGCATAAGCTAAGCAACCAAATACCTTCATGCTTGACACATCTGGCTTATAACCAAAGAAACATTCAAATGGTGTTACCTCTTTCACAGCAGTAGTAGGACTTCGGTTTCTTATATAGGTTGCTGTACTCACAGCCTCAGCCCAGAATTCAGTGGGAATGTCTGCATGAGCCATCATCGATCGAGAGGTTTCTAATAGTGTCCTGTTCATCCGTTCAGCCACTCCGTTTTGTGCTAGATTGTGGGGGACAGTGGTTTGATGTGTTATGCTTTTTTCTTTCAAGTATGAATTGAATTCTTTAGAGCAGTATTCACCTCCATTATCAGTGCGCAAGATATTCACCTTCTTCCCAGAATTCTCAGCATAGTTTACAAATTCCTTGAACTTTTCCAGGACTTGGTTTTTCTGTTTGATGAAATATACTTGTGTATATCGGGAAAGGTCATCAATAAATGTGACAAAATATAAAGATTTTCCAAGAGATGGTATCTCCATTGGACCACACACATCACTGTGAACAATTTCGAATGACTTCTCTGCTCGGTGAGGGTCGTTCTTTGGATAGGGAGTCCTATGTTGTTTCCCCATAATACATGATTCACACACAGACCTGATTTCATCTTCTTGAAAATTATTCATTCCTTTAACCATATTACCTTTAGCAAGTTTCGAAATGTTATCATATCCCAAATGCCCAAACCGACAATGCCATAATTCTCCCTGAGACATTTTCTTCGCAACATTGACTTGCTCATCACCGATAGTTTTTAACACAAATAATTTTCCACATATCTCACCTTTTGCCAATAACTTTCCATTTCTTGAGATTAAGCATTCATCTCCTTGAAACTTTATTGAGGCGCCCAATCTTGTCATTGCTCTTACAGATAACAAGTTTTTTCCTAATTCTGGAAGATACAGTACTTCACGAAGACTAATATTTTGGGTATGACCATTGATATCTGCCAAAATATTGTATGATCCTTTTCCATACGCTGATATGGTTCGATCATCACCTAGGTTTACAATGCATGGCTTCTTGAAATCCACATAATCATATAGACAGTTCTTTTGGTATGTCATGTGCTGAGTAGCACCAGAGTCTACAATCCAGTGGACATTATCTCCACAGTTGGATGTAATTAAAGCTTCTTGATCAAGATCAGCTTCATCTTTCTCTGCACAATTGACGGATCCCTTATTTTGTTCACCATGTTGTTGCTTATTCCCTCTTTTATAACGTTCTGGACAGTCTCTGGCAAAGTGTCCCTTTTTCTTGCAATTGTGACAAACTCCTTGAAATTGTTTCTTATAATCAGTTCGTTCTTTCCCTTTTCCATGAGTTGACTTGTCATTGTTGAATCTACCTCTTTCAACGGAATAGGCATCCTCATACTACTTTTCATCACCCATTCTGTCCACATCATTCAACAACATGCCTTTGACTTTTTGAAACGTTAAGCTATCTTCCCCAACAGCATCTAATGCGGTAATCAGAGGTTTGTACTCATCCGGCAGACTTGCCAACAAGGTCATCGCCAATTCCTTGAAGTGAACGCATGTGATTGATATGTTGCAACATATTACTTCCAGACTGGAATTTGCAGGAAAAGTATTGCTGCCTTAACTTGATTTTCAACAAAATTGACTCTCGTGCAAATTGGGCTTTTAGGGCATCCCACGCCTCTTTCGCTGTTTTCGTTTCCCGGACATGGATTATTTGTTCAGGCTCGACGGCCAAACAAATGTAAGTCCACGCCTTCTTCGCGGAAGATATGAACTTCTTTTTCACCGCTTCAGGAGCATCATCAGCAGGACTTTCTGCAGATCCATCGGCGTGTTCAAATAGATCTAAACTTTCGAGGTGTAATCGCATGTTAAATGCCCAGTCGCGATAGTTTTTCCCATTCAGCTTTGTCATTTTCAATGCAAAGTCGGGTGACATCGCCATATTGTTGCACGCTTCAGTCTCACTTCGTTTTATTTAAAACATTTCATTGCTTTAAACTCAAATCTTCGATACTACCCAGACGTTCTAGTGTCCTGGGCCCATAACCTGTTAATTTATTGTTAAAGCAAAAGCAAAACGACATATATTTAATAGTTTTAGTTACATAAAGAGCGTTGATCTAAGCCATGCGGTGTCGAGCAGAACACAAGTTAAAGTGTGAAAATGTAAAATTAGCATACAATAAATAGTGCTTACTAAATCATGTGACTAACACTATGATCAGATGTATAATACTTTGTTTAATACATATGTAATGTATCGTCATTCCTAACAGTAAGCACTCCAGGTAGTATAACCAAGTTACTTAATAATTAGAAAAATGATATATCTCTTTCATTAAATTTAAGCTCAGCCAAGTAACTTGAAAGTGCTACAGTTTCCTGTTCCACATATGTGGACTTTGGACATCTTTCCCATATTAACTCGTTCAGACACTCATTCACATTTTGCGTAAAACCATGCGTACTCTTTAGCAACAACCTTTCCTCGCTAAGACTTTCATAAATGGATTCAATTAGCTCCACAATGCTTTTTGGCATACCATTCTTATGATGGTATGCTGTAGTGTCTTTCTTGTATCCACAACAACTGTCTTCAGTATCAGGGTAAAGTTCATGTTGAGGGTTATCATTACTTAATGCCACATGATGAATGGATGCCTTGATCGCTTTTGCCATTTTATCAATGCCATGCAGGTTTTCTCTCGCTGCCAATCCATAGTAATTTTGCAAAAGATCAATTTTAGCATCAGTCAATCTATCCTTTCCACTCACACATTTACCATCACTCATTTTGACTCCTTTATGCAAACTCTTCAACTTCCGAAGGCAACTACCCACTCTCTTTTGCACATGTGCAATGCATTCTAGTTTTTTTTTATTGCAATCTATTCCATATGGCTTTCTTTTAACTATTGCACTATATGTTCATGAGTAACCATCACCCAACATATTCTTGTATCTCAATCCTCCGGCCACAATGGACAGCTCAAAAATTTTGATTTCTTTACAAGTCTCCATACAATTTGAAATTCCTTTATAGTAGATTTTGCAGTTGTGGGAAGCCTTCCATTCATAATATCTCACTTCATGCACTTTCTTTTGCCCTTCCAAGCCCTGCTGGCACTTGTCTGAAAGCACTTCTATATCTAGACATTTCTTGATGTCCAGCGATATAGCGGTGACAACACCGTTATGGGAGGTATGCCCTCTCTTTTGCCATGTCCCATCTAGTGAAATGCCAAATTTTCCATTCTCATTGTCAAGTGCTTCTTTCATTTTCATTGCCCAAGACAACATACTATCATTGGCCAACTTTTTCATAACAGGCAATAGTTTATTATTTTGAATATTAGTGAAGTTTTGGCAACTTAGAGGAGCTGGCATGTTCATCACCTTGTTGAATGTAAGCATGGCAGAGTGTCCATGACAAATTGCACGAAATGCTAACACTGCTCTAACATTAATTTCATGGGAATGACCTTGCTTCTTCGATGTATTAAAGCAGTATTTTCACTCACATTCATCACTAAAACATTCAAGGATTATGTAATGGGAATAGCCATTTTTCTTCTTCAAGTCAAGACGAAAGTGTATGTTACCACCACACTCGGGACAATTGAACATCATGAAAACACCAAAATGCACTG